CCCCCCCCCCTTGGAATTTCCTTGGGGTAGGTATGGACATAGATTGTGTCCTGGCCAGCTCATAGTAGTTTTTTTTGGTGTGTTTTCACAGTTGTGTTATTTTCTTGTGTTTCCAGGTTAGTCACCAGCTTGGGACACTCATGGATTTGTTTACAACAGCACTGTCATTAGCAGGCGCTAAACCACCTGCAAATAAAGTCATTGATGGCATTGATCTCAGTTCAGTTCTTTTTTATGAGAACATTACTGTCAGGTATACTTTTCAACAAAAACAACAACAACAATCTTAATTTCGTTCATTAATTTGCATTTTTACAGATAGACTGACCTGCAGATAGCTAGTGCTTGGCGCACCAGTCTATCAAGATCTAATGATAAACGTTTTTACTAATAAATAGATTTATTAATAAATAGATTTTTTTTCTTTATTGAGTTCGTTTTTATAATCAAGTAACCTTGTACCATCAAACAAAGCATTTTTGTTGTGTACAATGTTTATTTATTTATTTTTTGAATTGTTCATAATATATTGCTTGCTAATTATCAATGAATATGGGAAGTCTAGATTTCTGGAGTAAATAATAATTCCATCTTCCTAAGTAGTCACATCTCTACTGTAGGACATGACCTGTGAGGATGGAAACAATGCGGGTAATTGACTCCAGCCACACCCAACTTGACACTTTACAACCTCTAAGAACGCCATCACCTTGTAGTTGCCCGACACAAATAGATAACATTAGGCCCAGGTCAAACGCTATACTTCACATGAGCCGAACCCAATGACAGTTTGGGTCGACTCAAATAATTAAAAGGACACCTGTTTTAGTCAAACATCGAACTTAATTCAGTCGAACCAAACTGAAACGGTCTTGTTGGTCAGTGGTTTTTCAAGGTCATGTCAAAATGGCGCCTTTAGCCCTTTGATTATGCGTTTGGTTCGACTCATGTGAAGATCGGCGTTTGACCCAAAGTCGGTCTTCAGGCGTTGTTCACGGCTGGTCAGACGTGAAGAACGCCTCAGCCCCGCTACCCCGGCGGGTGGAGGGGGGTGGTACTCCCAGAAAAGTTGGGTGGGGGTGTGCGGCCCACTTCCCAAAACCCTTACCCTATATATGACCAAAATCTGCGATTTTTCCTACCCCATTTATGACCTGGCCAAAAATTCAATACCCTATTTATGACCGTTGCGGCTGGAGCAGTTGCCTTAAACTTAAGTTATGAAGGGCTTTTGTTGACGTTCTTATTGAAAACGAAGAAAAAGTAGCTTCCTCTAAGAAATAGACCCAATTAAAGACTAGAGTGCTAAAACCATACTCTATTTATAACCAAAATGGCCAAAATCGATACCCTATTTATGACTAAAACGGCTGAAAAACCCTACCCTTTGGGGCCGCACATACCTATATAGCTATATAAGGGAGTACCACCCCCCCCCCCCCCCCCCC